AAAGACGCCTACTGCTCCATTCCCCACCCACACTTTGGAAAATGAGATCACAGCACTGTGTTCCTCCACCCAGTTTACAAGCAGAAGCTGAAACGGGAGGATCCTTCACAAAAGGAAGTAAAATGCTGGCCTGAGGCTGCGGAGGACTGTCTCTGGGACTGTTTGGACTCAGTGGACTGGACCGTGTTCAAGTGTTCAGCAGAAAACCTAGACGAGTACGCTATCATGGTCACAGAATTCATTAGCAAATGTGTGGAGGACTGTGTACCAAAGAATTCAATTCAAGTGTTCCCCAATCGTAAACCTTGGATGAACCAGGAACTCCACTCCCTACTGAAGACCAGACATGCAGCTTTCAAGTCAGGTGACCCGGACCAATACAGGAAAGCCAGATATGACCTCCTGCAAAGCCACCGGGGATGCCAAGAGGCAGTAGTGGACTAAGTTACAGGCCCAAACCTACAAAACAGACTCCCACCACCTATGGCAAGGCCTAAACAACATTACGGGATACAAAATGAAGCAGAGCGAGATAGCGGACAAAGACACATCCTTCCCTGATGCGCTCAATGCTTTCTGTGCTCGGTTTGAGCAGAATGCCAGTGGCGTGGTGACGCCTGCCCCAACAGCCCCGGACACATTTGTTCCTTCGGTCATCGCTGCAGAAGTCAGATCGGTCTTTCTGGGAGTCAACCCAAGAAAAGTGACGGGCCTGGATAGTGTCCCTGGCCGAGCACTCGGATCCTGTGCAGACCAACTGGCGGAGGTATTCACCGACATCTTCAACCTCTCCCTCCTACAAACCAAAGTCACCATCTGAAGAAGACCACCATCATCCCCGTATCAAAGAAAACATATGCAACGTGCCTTAATGACTACTGCCCAGCGTCTCTGACCTCAGTAATCATGAAGTGCTTCAAGAGGCTGGTCATGGCCCACCACAACTCCAGTCTCCCAGCCTGCCTCGATCCCCTACAGTTTGCCTACTGATATAACAGATCTATAGAGGATGCCACATCCCTCGCCCTGCACTCATCCCTGGAACATCTGGACAACAAAGGTACCTACATCAGACTCCTGCTCGTTGATTACAGCTCCACCTTCAACACCATTACCCCCTCCAGACTGACCTCAAAACTGCATGACCTTGGTCTTGGCTCCGCCCTTTGCAACTGGATCCTCAGCTTTCTGACCCACAGGCTGCAATCAGTGAGGATAGGTAATTGCACCTCCTCCACAATAACACTCAACACCGGCCCCCCTCCCCAACCAAAAATGCGACATTTTCTCCCTACTTTACTCCCTGTACACCTATGACTGTGTTGCCAAATTCCGAACAAACGTCATCTACAAATTTGTTGACAACACCACAATAGTAGGATAGATATCAAACAATGACAAGTCAAAATACAGAAGGGAGATAGGGGGCTTGGTGACGTGTTGCAATGAGAACAACTTTCCCTCAATGTCAGCAAAACTGAAGAATTGATCATTGACTTCAGAAAGAAGGCAGGAGAACACGCCCCCATCTACATCAATGGAACTGAGGTTGAGAGTGTGGAGAGCATCAAGTTCCTCAGAGTGACGACAACCAACAACCTGTCCTGGTCTCCCCATGTAAATACAACAGCCAAGAAAGCACAACAATGCCTCTTCTTCCTCAGGGGGCTCAGGAAATTTGGCATGTCCATAAGGACCCTCACCAACTTCTACAGATGCACCATTGAAAGCATACTGTGCAGACCATCACGGAAGCCAATCTTCCATCCATGGACTCCATTTACATGGCTTGCTGCTGAGGAAAGGCTGCCAACATCATCAAAGACCCATCACAACCCAGTAATGATCTCCTACAACCTCTTTCATCAGGCAGAAGATACAGAAACCTGAACATATGCACAAGCAGGTTCAGGAACAACTTCTTCCCGGCCATTATTAGATTGATGTATGGACTCTCTAGCCTCAAATAATGCTGATCTTGCTAACGTTGATCTCACCTAGCGCACGCCCTGTGCAATGTAACCTGTATGCCTCCAAGTTTTTTTGATCTGTCCATCCTTGCTTACTAAGATCTGCCTGTACTGCTCGCAAACAAAACTTTTCACTGTACTTCAGTACATGTGACAATAAATCAATCAATCTATCATCTGTATCAAACTGCTTAGAGTAACTGAATGCAGCTGGAAGAATGTAGAGGTGATTCTTTCAATGGAGATCAGGGCAGTCTTTGCTTAGCCCAGATACTTTACGTTAGTAGCTGATTTCAGTTGACCTATAATAGGATGGTTACATCCCATTGGAGGGATGGAGAAAGAATATTCTCTTCGGATTCACAGTCCTGGCAATTTACAACTAACCCTTTCTGGCAGCACAAGTCTTTGGACATTGGTTGAGAATCGGCAAATAATATAATGTTTAGTGGAATTTGAGACAAAATTATCTTCTGGTTGAAACAACTTGCTTTTGAAGATATTAGTTTCTCTTACACCTTACCAGACTAGCTGCATCGATTTCATTTCAGAATAGGTCAGAGGCTATGCACTTGGATAGATCGATGCATCTGCAAGTAGCTTAACATTGTTCAGAACAAGGCAAATTTCTTCATCAGCATCCCATCCACCACGTTCAACATCTATTCACTCTACCGTTGGCGCAACATGGCGCAGTAATTTAGTTTCTACGTGATGTACTGAAGCATTGCACCAAGGAATCTTTGACAATATCTCCTAAACCAGTACTAAATAGAAGGGAAAGGGAAACAGGTATATGGGAACACAATCACCTTCAAGTTCCCCACCAAATCATCCAACATCCTCATTTACGCATCTTTTGCCTTTTCTTTGCATTGTTGCTGCTACAGAATCTTGGAATTCCTCCTCTAACAGCATTTTGATTCCACATAGATTATTGCAACTCTAGAAGAAAACCCATAAACCCCTTCTTAGTGCCCCTGGAGATAGGTAATAAAGACAGCTTTGTCCATGACCCTGATGATCCAAAAAATGACATTATAAAAACATGCTTGAGTAGTTTGCTGGTGCTCAATGGTTGAGTCGTGTATATAAAAAAAGTCAGTTGAAAGAAATGAATGTGGCCTTAATGGAATAAATCCCCAGCAAGGAGTCGTATGTTGTGTTATGACTCACTGGGCTACAAATTGAGCCCCATTATTCATGAAGCCATCACAGAAATTAACGATTTTATAAAGTACACATCTACACCTGCCTTTTGGATCCAGACTGATGGAAAGTATGGACAGTTTCTGTATTGAACTACAATTATTATTTATTACATGTAATTAGACTCTGGTTACAGGAAGAAAAATTATATGCTGTGGACATATAATAATAGAATTTAAAATTTTAATCTTCTTATAAATTTAAACACACCACACACCACACACACACACACATACACACACACACACACACACACA